TTTTCATATGTAATAAATTACTTGCGCTTCAGAGCGAGCAGACGTAACACAATAAATGCGGTCAATGCTTTTAGAGGTGGATGCCTGCTGTTTGGGAACGCAGTCATGTAAGACAGTAATTATACAGAAATACTTTGAAGACAGATTTCAGAACGACCAAAACAACATATAGATGCTGTGAACGAGATCGGTCCGCTGGTTAGTCAATTTATCCCGTCTCATAGGGCAAAGTCACATGACTTTTTCAATGCGGCAAAGTCACATGACTTTTTCAATGCTCATGGTGGAATTTATTCGGTAAATTTGTTTCCATCGTAGTTTATGCGCATTTTTTCTTATCGGATAAAAAGTTTATCCTACTCAGTTGTGCGCATAAGTTTTTTATGCGCATTTTTAGAATTTATGCGCATCTTGGCGTTTCCATCCAGCGTTTTTTTAATGTGATAATCCAAAATGCGCATAAAAATAGGTGGATGGAAACATAGTGTTGTTCACTCTCTTTATGTGCTTGGCCAGTGCATTTAATGGAACTTCACTCTGGGGGGCGATGGTGGTGGACTTTAATGTGGTTTTGATTCAAGTTAAACAGGATCATATTCATAAGCCATCCCAGAGGTTTACACCATCTGTCTGGCATCGCCTTGGCTCTTAAAGCATGGGAAACTTCATTAAATATTTGATGGTGCTGACTGGTCAATAATGAGATATAGCAGGGGATGTGAGGAACATTCTAAGTAAACTGAGTTGAATACAGGACATGATTCTGTTGCAAATTCTAGTGAGTCGCCTTGATGTCTACTGATTACAGCAGCATCCAGAGATGGAACCTCATAAGGGACTGATGTAGAATGTTCTAAGTATAAAATTCTTAAACTTTTACAACGGTTGGTCACCCCAATCTTCTATACATTACTATTCAAACCTTTGGAATTGGTTATGTTTTTGACAGTCTCTTGCTCATCAGCTGCAATTATTTAATTAAAAATACAATAATAAATTATAACAATTAACACAATTATATATAATTATATAAAACAATTATATTATGTAACATTGTTTCAATTTATACTACAGGGCAGTTGAATGCTTGATTTTGATTGGTTGATGAATGAATGGGGAAACGCACCCCTAAAGGAGTTCCAGGCAGGTCTTGACTGCATTACAGTTTAATATCACTTCGCCAAATTATTTCAGTTATTTCAAAGGTCCTTAGTTATAGCCTACAACGGCAAACAACAAAAACCCACAACGATGTTGACCAATATAAATATATTAAACAATAGGATAAAAATGACAAACAATTTCAATCTTCTATACATTACTATTCAAACCTTTGGGATTGGTTATGTTTTTGACAGAAGTCTCTTGCTCATCAGCTGCAATTATTTAATTAAAAATACAGTAATAAATTATAACAATTAACACAATTATATATAATTATATAAAACAATTATATTATGTAACATTGTTTCAATTTATACTACAGGGCAGTTGAATGCTTGATTTTGATTGGTTGATGAATGTTTAGGGAAACGCACCCCTAAAGGAGTTCCAGGCAGGTCTTGACTGCATTACAGTTTAATATCACTTCGCCAAATTATTTCAGTTATTTCAAAGGTCCTTAGTTATAGCCTACAACGGCAAACAACAAAAACCCACAACGATGTTGACCAATATAAATATATTAAACAATAGGATAAAAATGACAAACAATTTTCATGTTTTTCCCCGAAAATTATGTTTTATTATCTATGGAAGCACTAGTGTCTTTCTCCCGCTCTCTACCATATAAACGTACACATAGAGACACACATGCTCGCACTCACACACCCCTAGTAAAAAAGAACCTATGCCATATTTAAAATAAATGTTTTTCATACTACTGTAAGTATACTTCAAATCCTTTGACATATTTATTGACATATCACTTAAGACTAACTGATATAAAATTATAATTAAACTTTATTTGGACTATTTCTTTATTGCACAATGCACATTTCTTAATATTATGCCTAAAATGTGTTTTAATATGATTATTAATAAGGATTGTATGATCTCTCTATAATATCGGTCTTTAAATGCAAGATATTTAAAGTGAACCTGAAGGGTACTTGCAATAGTCAACCATCATCTTGGATCTGTTTTTTCCCTTTTGCTCTGTGTAATGTAGTCTGGGATTGTCTTAATTGCAAAAGATGTCAAGCTGCCTTTGATTTTGGTTAAATAGACAGTAGTACCTTACTGAACAGCCTTTAAGACTTCACACCCTAAAATGTTGTCTAAGTAGGCCACTTGCTAAGTTTTGGAAAACAGCTAATGTGTAAGGAAGGTTAAAACACACACACACACACACAAATGCTCAATAAATGGGCTGTACTTCTCTTGGAGTTATTTACCTCTGAGTCTTGAGGGTCTTGTAAGATGGACGCCTCCAGCAGTAGTACAGCACTGTTCAGATCCCCATCCCTGCATTTCTGCAGCCCCTGTTCAAAGGCATTGGTGTAGTCTTTGTAAGGGTTATTGGAATGGACGTAGTAACCCTGCAAGCAAAAGGACCAAAAAACAAGCTTAAAGAAAACAATCAAAATCATGAGTAAGTATTATGATTATTTTAATAGAATAGTTGAGAGCAGGACTTATTGTAAGCCTTTCATAAATCTGGAGAGGTAGATGGTGGTGTGTTGATAATTAGATCATGCTGAGGTCTTTAATATTGCAGTGGAAAGTGCAGTTGGGCTAATCAGAGGCGTGGGGAGAAGAAAAGGGCACAGGAACTCACACTTCAAATGATCCACTGCAAAGCCATATGCCCAACATTCACACCATCCAGGACACTACACAATAAACTAAGACTTAAATGAATGCAGCAACAGACCGCTCCATCTTGCCACAGGCTCTTAAAATACTAAACATCACATTAAAAAAAATGCAACACTGGGTGTTCAACTCCCATCAAGCCAGTTGAAATTAAAATAGTGTACACAAATATTATGATTATTACAGTAATCTGCACACAGCGCAAAAATACAGCCTTTGAGGTATTTTTGACAAGAACCACCATACAATTAGAAAACACTACTAAACCCTGCCATTTTCTTATTAATAAAAAAGGATGTTCTTAAGAAACAGAACTGCATTCTTACAAACTTCTTAGAATTTATCTTAAGCAACCATCCAGAACACCCAAGAAACTGAATAGCAGCATCCCATCAACCACCCAAAACAACTTAACTGCATAGAAAGCGCCTAGCAACTGGATGCTATGATTAATCAAGCTGTCTCTCTAAAAGGGCTGTAGCACAGGCAGCACAGTATAGTTTTTGGCAATATCTGAACATTCTCTACCTGTTTGGAAGCACACGATGGAACATAAGAGATCATTTTAGATGAAAGAGAGCATTATCCAGCATCTGGAGTCTATAACGTTTGAAGTGATAATAAAATACAGTAATAAATTATAACAATTAACACAATTATATATAATTATATAAAACAATTATATTATGTAACATTGTTTCAATTTATACTACAGGGCAGTTGAATGCTTGATTTTGATTGGTTGATGAATGTTTAGGGAAACGCACCCCTAAAGGAGTTCCAGGCAGGTCTTGACTGCATTACAGTTTAATATCACTTCGCCAAATTATTTCAGTTATTTCAAAGGTCCTTAGTTATAGCCTACAACGGCAAACAACAAAAACCCACAAAGATGTTGACCAATATAAATATATTAAACAATAGGATAAAAATGACAAACAATTTTCATGTTTTTCCCCGAAAATTATGTTTTATTATCTATGGAAGCACTAGTGTCTTTCTCCCGCTCTCTACCATATAAACGTACACATAGAGACACACATGCTCGCACTCACACACCCCTAGTAAAAAAGAACCTATGCCATATTTAAAATAAATGTTTTTCATACTACTGTAAGTATACTTCAAATCCTTTGACATATTTATTGACATATCACTTAAGACTAACTGATATAAAATTATAATTAAACTTTATTTGGACTATTTCTTTATTGCACAATGCACATTTCTTAATATTATGCCTAAAATGTGTTTTAATATGATTATTAATAAGGATTGTATGATCTCTCTATAATATCGGTCTTTAAATGCAAGATATTTAAAGTGAACCTGAAGGGTACTTGCAATAGTCAACCATCATCTTGGATCTGTTTTTTCCCTTTTGCTCTGTGTAATGTAGTCTGGGATTGTCTTAATTGCAAAAGATGTCAAGCTGCCTTTGATTTTGGTTAAATAGACAGTAGTACCTTACTGAACAGCCTTTAAGACTTCACACCCTAAAATGTTGTCTAAGTAGGCCACTTGCTAAGTTTTGGAAAACAGCTAATGTGTAAGGAAGGTTAAAACACACACACACACACACAAATGCTCAATAAATGGGCTGTACTTCTCTTGGAGTTATTTACCTCTGAGTCTTGAGGGTCTTGTAAGATGGACGCCTCCAGCAGTAGTACAGCACTGTTCAGATCCCCATCCCTGCATTTCTGCAGCCCCTGTTCAAAGGCATTGGTGTAGTCTTTGTAAGGGTTACTGGAATGGACGTAGTAACCCTGCAAGCAAAAGGACCAAAAAACAAGCTTAAAGAAAACAATCAAAATCATGAGTAAGTATTATGATTATTTTAATAGAATAGTTGAGAGCAGGACTTATTGTAAGCCTTTCATAAATCTGGAGAGGTAGATGGTGGTGTGTTGATAATTAGATCATGCTGAGGTCTTTTAATATTGCAGTGGAAAGTGCAGTTGGGCTAATCAGAGGCGTGGGGAGAAGAAAAGGGCACAGGAACTCACACTTCAAATGATCCACTGCAAAGCCATATGCCCAACATTCACACCATCCAGGACACTACACAATAAACTAAGACTTAAATGAATGCAGCAACAGACCGCTCCATCTTGCCACAGGCTCTTAAAATACTAAACATCACATTAAAAAAAATGCAACACTGGGTGTTCAACTCCCATCAAGCCAGTTGAAATTAAAATAGTGTACACAAATATTATGATTATTACAGTAATCTGCACACAGCGCAAAAATACAGCCTTTGAGGTATTTTTGACAAGAACCACCATACAATTAGAAAACACTACTAAACCCTGCCATTTTCTTATTAATAAAAAAGGATGTTCTTAAGAAACAGAACTGCATTCTTACAAACTTCTTAGAATTTATCTTAAGCAACCATCCAGAACACCCAAGAAACTGAATAGCAGCATCCCATCAAAAGATGTCAAGCTGCCTTTGATTTTGGTTAAATAGACAGTAGTACCTTACTGAACAGCCTTTAAGACTTCACACCCTAAAATGTTGTCTAAGTAGGCCACTTGCTAAGTTTTGGAAAACAGCTAATGTGTAAGGAAGGTTAAAACACACACACACACAAATGCTCAATAAATGGGCTGTACTTCTCTTGGAGTTATTTACCTCTGAGTCTTGAGGGTCTTGTAAGATGGACGCCTCCAGCAGTAGTACAGCACTGTTCAGATCCCCATCCCTGCATTTCTGCAGCCCCTGTTCAAAGGCATTGGTGTAGTCTTTGTAAGGGTTACTGGAATGGACGTAGTAACCCTGCAAGCAAAAGGACCAAAAAACAAGCTTAAAGAAAACAATCAAAATCATGAGTAAGTATTATGATTATTTTAATAGAATAGTTGAGAGCAGGACTTATTGTAAGCCTTTCATAAATCTGGAGAGGTAGATGGTGGTGTGTTGATAATTAGATCATGCTGAGGTCTTTTAATATTGCAGTGGAAAGTGCAGTTGGGCTAATCAGAGGCGTGGGGAGAAGAAAAGGGCACAGGAACTCACACTTCAAATGATCCACTGCAAAGCCATATGCCCAACATTCACACCATCCAGGACACTACACAATAAACTAAGACTTAAATGAATGCAGCAACAGACCGCTCCATCTTGCCACAGGCTCTTAAAATACTAAACATCCCATTAAAAAAAATGCAACACTGGGTGTTCAACTCCCATCAAGCCAGTTGAAATGAAAATAGTGTACACAAATATTATGATTATTACAGTAATCTGCACACAGCGCAAAAATACAGCCTTTGAGGTATTTTTGACAAGAACCACCATACAATTAGAAAACACTACTAAACCCTGCCATTTTCTTATTAATAAAAAAGGATGTTCTTAAGAAACAGAACTGCATTCTTACAAACTTCTTAGAATTTATCTTAAGCAACCATCCAGAACACCCAAGAAACTGAATAGCAGCATCCCATCAACCACCCAAAACAACTTAACTGCATAGAAAGCGCCTAGCAACTGGATGCTATGATTAATCAAGCTGTCTCTCTAAAAGGGCTGTAGCACAGGCAGCACAGTATAGTTTTTGGCAATATCTGAACATTCTCTACCTGTTTGGAAGCACACGATGGAACATAAGAGATCATTTTAGATGAAAGAGAGCATTATCCAGCATCTGGAGTCTATAACGTTTGAAGTGATAATCTACCACTGTATCAATTCTGCCGTCACATAAAATGCAATACAGAGGGCAGCCATCATGAAATACATTCATGCGGTGGTGTGGAACAGCACCTTTGATAGGTTAACAATGAATAGAGTGGTTTCCATTGGTTAAAGGTGCTGTATGTAATTTTTTGACAGTACTGTCATAAATGTATGATTTTGTAGATAATTAACAAAAAACATGCAGTTCACTTGCTCATTTCTCTGAAAAACAATCCTTCAGCCAATTATTCTACTTTGAAATGTTTTGTTTTGATATGTGTGATTCCGCCCACTGGCAGTTTATTCAATAGTATTTTGGTACCCCGGGTTGCCAGTTGGCGGAAGACACAGCGTATTGCAGCCATGGAAACCAGCAAACAAACTGGGTCAGAAATAGCAGATTCTACCCACCCTAAAAAGCCCCAGCATCAATCTAAAAAGCTCTATTTATTATAAAAACCTTTGATATCAAAATATATCATAAGCCCCGTCCCGCACGTTGACGGGATTAGTTAAATGTTTGTGACAGGGGCAGTTCCGTTTTACATTTTAGAGACTGTCTTTGGGACACAGCAGTTTTAGGGAGAAAATACTTGACAATGGTGTTGACTGATGAATTTGCACATGGTTTGTCTTTAAGCCTATTAAAAAACAGCAGATTAAAAAAACTTGATTTATCACCAGAGGGGATGTTTAAAATTAGATTATTTTTAATATATTAATAATCATTTATTATTTTAAATAAAAGTCATCCTAAGACCTTCTTGGAATTTGCTAGGGGGGGCCAGCTCATGGTGGAGAACCACTGATGCAGAGCATTCTGATTGGTTGAGAATACCTTCTCAGTGGGTGAAAAGTTGAGTGGAACCAGGCCTTCACTGTCAGCATCCTCCAACCAGTTCCTCTGTGCCAGCTCCTCCCACTCTGCCTGCATTTTATTCCAGAACTCAGTGTCTGACTGTGGGAGACAGTTTAACAGCCCTTTAGGACACAGCCAATATTGGAATACCATATAAAACGTGACCCTGTAGAGCATTACAGAGAGATGTTATTTGGCATCTATAAAATGCTGCTTTAACAATAACTTATACCAGCAGGGAATAATTAGGATAGACTTAATAGCATTTGAATTGCTATGTGTTTTTGTTTTGTTTTAAATGTTCCACATAGGACTAGCCAGACTCACAATCATGCTCCAGTTTTATGAGGACATATTGTTTTTTAGCTATAAAAGCTGTAAAGTAATTTGAAGCAGCAAGGTCAAAAGGTCAACATATTCATCTTTATGGATTCACCAGAATATAATCTGCAAGAAGCACATTTATGATTGGATTACAGACAGACCTCTCAGCTTTCATACAGTATCTAGTTCTTATCAATCTGAGAGGTCAGCAGAAGCACCAAACAATGTATGCATATGTATTTTTATACACAGTTTTATGTGTCGGATGAGGTATGATAATTCCGGGCAGATTCCAGTTACAGTCCATCATGTACTGCAAAGCCCTAAAGGAAAGTATTATCTTAAATGACTCTCTCAGACTGTGTGTGGGTGTGCATGTGTGTGAATTTGTCTTAAAAATTTTACAAACTCACACATACACACACATACACACAGAGAGAGAGAGAGAGAGAGAGAGAGAGAGATAGGGTTACAAACTCACACATACACACACATACACACAGAGAGAGAGAGAGAGAGAGAGAGACCTCTTAACAGATTCAATCACCATGGAAAAAAAGAACAGAAAGTAATGGCCTTAGTGACCACATTTAGATCACGTCATTTGCATCACATTATTTTCCATAGTACTATGTACTGACATTTTCCATGTATCACACAGTTCTAAGAATTACTTTCATTTGGACATGCACGGATACAGTAAAAGTGAATATTCAATTAGATGTGCAATTCAGAATACGTTGGTTACATGACACAGAATTCTGATTAATTTTGGCTTATACCATCTGTATTCAGATTCAGATTTCTAGAAACCTTAATCAGTTTAATCAGTTCACAGATTGACATGTTTACATAACATAAATATTGGGAATACAATCAAATTCTGAATAATATTGTAATATTCTTGCACATGTAATCACAGTCACTGTCAAAGTCTTTCCATTTATGTATTCTCAAGGGCTTCTGATCATGACAAAGGGAAAAATCAGCATCACCTTCATGAATGAGGGCATTTATTTTATCAGGCAAACAGCAAATAACCCTGTGAACTTCATTCACGCCCATGACATTGATCTAAAAGGCTTTTTAATCAACCATCTGTGCATTTGTGCATGGTTTGCTAGTGTGTGTTCCACCCAGGATTCTTCGTTTGCTTACTTTGGCTCCCTGCTTGAATAAACCAGTTCTTAAAGCAACACTGACTGGAAATCTTCGTGTTTTTATTTTTCTTGGCAGCTCAAATTAATCGTGCAACACACAAACAATTGCTTAGGCTTCATCAGTCCACCTAGAGCTGATTCACTGAGTGTTTGCAGGGGAAATGAGGGGAGAGTGCTGTATCTGTGATGAAGGTACCCATTGGATGGGCCAATTAATCACAGAAAATCCTGCACACTGCACACGATCACATACAACAAACAGTCATACACACTCATCTTTTCCATTTGCATGACTGATACACAGGTATAAATCAAATAAATAAATGTCTGTTATCAGCCCAATGGAATATGGATGATCAATCTTTTCCTAGATTGCCTGCGGTTCCCTCAAGCAGTCCTGTCACCATGACGAAGAGGTGCCATGCAATTGCAACACCGCAAGGGTTCTCCAGAGTCATTCATCTGTACTCAAATAATCACCAGCTAGCACAAGAAAACCTGCACACTAGCTTTATAGTTTCAACAACTTTTTGCTTTAGTTTATAATATGCACCAGGCATAAGCTTTTGTAGCAATTAATCAGTAAGTATTTGAGTCCCTGATAAAGGAAAATAAACGTATAATAAACTTTTGGATAAACGTATTTAAAACGCGTGACAATTCCCAAGAATCTGTACTAATGTTGGTGTGATACATGGTTTTGAAAAACCTTTGTACCATTTAAAAAAAAAAAAAAAAAGTTTAAATGAAGTGACTCTTTTTTTGTGAAATAAACCGCAATATACAGGTTAACTATCCCGGATTCCCCCTGTTCACCGCCGTCACTCTGCCACAGACTAATCATATGCACCTGTCACTCAAACACTAGCCTCATCAAGGACACTGTCTGGCCTTGTATGTGCGTACTATGCTGCACTCCTTACTGGTGCCATGCAATTGCAACACCGCAAGGGTTCTCCAGAGTCATTCATCTGTACTCAAATAATCACCAGCTAGCACAAGAAAACCTGCACACTAGCTTTATAGTTTCAACAACTTTTTGCTTTAGTTTATAATATGCACCAGGCATAAGCTTTTGTAGCAATTAATCAGTAAGTATTTGAGTCCCTGATAAAGGAAAATAAACGTATAATAAACTTTTGGATAAACGTATTTAAAACGCGTGACAATTCCCAAGAATCTGTACTAATGTTGGTGTGATACATGGTTTTGAAAAACCTTTGTACCATTTAAAAAAAAAAAAAAAAAGTTTAAATGAAGTGACTCTTTTTTTGTGAAATAAACCGCAATACACAGGTTAACTATCCCGGATTCCCCGTTCACCGCCGTCACTCTGCCACAGACTAATCATATGCACCTGTCACTCAAACACTAGCCTCATCAAGGACACTGTCTGGCCTTGTATGTGCGTACTATGCTGCACTCCTTACTAATCTGTTCTTTTGATTATTCCAGCATAATCTCCCGTTTACCTGTGTCTGTGTGGCCCTCGTCATCTCGTCTGCCTCATCCTCCATCCTCGTCAGCACATATGAGTATCGCCTTTAAGTTTTCACCATGTTATCATTCAAGACTGTTCTGTTATCGCACCATTTGTGTTAAATAAACCCTGACTCCCCGTGTTCATTTGTTACAGTAACATTTTCTTTACACCATACATACTGTTTGTATGTGTACATACATATTGTATGTACACATCTTTATTTACTTTGTTAGTTTAAAAAGTAAAAAGTTTCTCTTTATTTTTACAAATATCATGAATTATTCTTTCGTAAATATGAATAAGCAGTAAAGTTTTGCTAAAACACTTTTTTCTATAGGAATTATGTTCAGTTAAATATGTTTCACGGCAGAAATAATCTTCCTTAAAATTGTATTTTAAATATAAAAGCATACGTATTCGAGTGTGCTATAAAAGTTACAGTAGTTTCATACGATGGAAGCAGAAAACTTCAGACAGTTTGAATCATGATATTGATTGGATTTTAGTGTCACTGTTTAATATAGCTACAGTACAGATGCTCTGGCCTTTTTTACTGGTTTCTTTACTGAGCACATGACATTAAAATGGATGTCTTATGAATATTACTGCCCAATAAGCATCTCTGGATGGAAGACTAGAGAGGTAAGAGCTGACATCATCACAAAGCAGCCTCTTTGAGATTTCATTTTTGTTAATGCTGCACTGTTTGGCTAAAAATACACCAATTATGCAGTCTTAACTTACAGGGTGAGACTGACCTTACAGAATGCAAGAAACTGCAATTCCCAGGTGACCAGATACATTGCGAGTAAGCCTTGAGGTATGAAGATTTGTGTGGTAGCAGACACAACTTTTTCCAAACTTTTCAAATGAATAAGTAGCTGTGATTTTCTTGTGTTAGCATGTGTGTGTGAGTGTATTGTACGGACTCTGTCTCACCTCCACAGCAGCCTTGGCTCGAACAAACTCCTCCTCTAATGAGTGTTGTCTCCCCAGTAAAGTACCGCCCAGCTGGGGCCTCTGCCGCTGTGCACACAGATGGTCACACACATGCAGACAAGGTCAACCAGCAGTCGCTTTGTAACACTGTCTTTGTCCTCAGATCATGCTGAATAAGCAACCTTAAAGTTATGGCCAATATAAATTTTTTAGTATACAGTGGCCCCAAAAAGTATTTGAACACTTAAGCCACACTAAAATATACATGAGACGATGAACTATCAAACCAAGAGGTATCTGCAAATAAAAGATGCTAGACGTTTTTTCATAACTATTATGTCAAGAACTAACTAAATTTATTTGCCATATTGGGATTTAAATTTATCTGAATTCGATGTGATTTTTAGTGGATGTGCGAAGCCAGTTCCTCTCAAGTTTACACAGATGTTGTAGCAAAGTAACCACAGAGGATACTAGTTACTAAAGGTTGGGTAACTTTAGCCCCCCCCCCCCGCAGTACTGCAAACAAAGTAGCTTTGAAATTGTGGTGTGAAACACGTAATATTTGACAAGTAGATGGTATCTGTCAGCAAACAGAAGGAGACAACACAGGTAAATGACGGTCTCACAGAGCTTTATTACAGGCTTCTGGAGAGGAGCAAGCAACGATCATGGGTGAGATAATATTGCTGATAATCTTGAGCAAAGACTTAGCAGAACAGTCACTGAGGTTTCTTGCAGGGTGAGGCTGAGACAACGTGCTGGGTCGAAGACAGAAGATGATGGCAGACGACTGGGATGGATTCAACGAACAGGTAGGTAGAGCAGGTAAGTAGTCAGGTAAGTTGATGCAAGACCAGACACTAAGGTAGTGATGGGAAGGTGGCTTTATATGGTGACTTGATTAGTGTTGACAGGTGAAGTGCATCAGCTGATCCAGATGACTGCACGATGCAGCGACGAGGATGACCATGTCCTCGTCGTGCAGGACAGTCAGGATGCTAATCATGGAACTCTGTTAATAAGGCTGGATCAAGGATGTCATCATGTGAAACCCATGATCTCTCCTCTGGGCCGTATCCTTCCAAATCCACAAGATACTCCAGACGGCCGCCTCGTCGCCGGGAGTCCAGGATGGTGTTGACTTTTTGCCAGACATTTTGACTCATGTGGTCCACTGGTTCACATTTAAAAATATGTAGCAAAAATAGCAGATGGGTAAGAACATAATTTAGTGCAAACATTTCTGTCATGCATTTGGCAAAAAGCTTTTGTTGACTATGAATTTTACCTTTGAAATTATTTTACCTTTGAGATTTGAGGCAAGTCCCTGATAGCACACGTACACCTCAGAAACGTCTATTTGACGTCTGCATTTACATCTGTAAGATGTATTTTTTAGCGCATTTGCTCATCTGCAATACGTCTATAGGACGTTTCCTATCAGATGTCAAATAGACATTTAGAAGATGTCTAAGATGTTTATGATTTAGAATGAATGTAAAACTGACATCTTAAGACGTCTATCAGATGTTTGTACACAGCAGATGCTTTCCAGATGAAGAGATCTTTAACAGACATCTTGCAGACATACGTGTGCTATCTGGGGTGCAACTCTGGCGTCCCCGTTGTTTGTGAGCAGTGGTGTGATGGCGATTTAAATAAAATACAGATTTCCAAACAATCCAAACATATGGGTATCCCCTTGAATTTGGTAAAAAGATCATCTGTTTACCATCTTGACTGGAAAATAATGTTTTCATGGTCAGTTTTTAATTTATTATTTGCTAATGCTAATGAATGTTTACATTAGAGTGCACGTCCTACTATGCTGAAATTAATACGGGGAGCGGCTGGAAACTATAACGCCCTCTCCTGGTTGGAGATAGTATTAACATCATTAACTGAAAGCAATCTTTACGTATACGGCCCGCGGGCCGCCAGTTGCCCATCCCTGATGTAGAGCCTAACAAATGTCTTTCTGTGAAATGTTGAAGTGTGCTTGTGTTGTCCGTTCATTAAGATTTTGTTATCTAATGGAGTGACATTTAGACAATTTCTGGTCTACTGAATACTTACTGGGGCCACTGTATATTATTCATGTACTCAGTTCTTCAGTAGGCAGGATTAAAGTTGTGGGCAGTATAAAGGTTTAGTATATATTATTGCTATATTTAAAGTGCCCCTATTATGGATTTTTGAAAAGTACCTTTTATGCAGTGTGTAACACAGCTCTAAGTGAATGAAAAAAGTTTTAAATCTAAAAGTGAACCGTGTATAAAGTTATTGTCTCTCAAAAGAAAGAGTCAACACTGAGTCATTTTTAAAATGAATCCCAAGCCGTTTCATGTTGACGTCAACATGAAACATTAGCATACAGTAATGCCCGCCCACTTGTTGCACACACAGACCTGGGAAAACTTGAACCCCCCCTCCCTTAAACACTGTAGCGGATTCCTGTGGATAGCATCATGTCGAGAAGACGCTGTGCTCTACACTGTGGGGGTAAATCTGTTTTTGTTTTTTTTATTCCAAAGGACGAGGCTGTGAAGAATCAATGGTTAAAGTTCATTTTTTACAGCAATACCACAGCAGTATAGCTCCAACCTTGTGTTGTGTCCCCGTCATTTTACTGATGACTGCTACAGCAACCTAAATGCGTACAAGCGGGATTCGCAGGCCGGTTTTTATTTTGAAGGAAGGATCAGTACCCAGTTTATTTGGACCAGCTTCTTCCTCCTCCAAATCACAACCTGTAAGTATTAAAAATTGTTGCTCTCATGTTCTCTGTAGCATGCAAAATACGTATTTAGTTGTGTGTGTTGTGTTCGCTCCGCGCAGCTTGTAGGTCTCTGGCTAACCGGCTAACAGAAATATCTGTTCGCTCGCAATTGTCTAGAAATGTGTCGATGAATAGTGAATGTTTGTCGTTGTTATTACTTGGAGTTATGGGCTTTCCGTTTCCGACATGCCCTGCACCCGGTAGACCAATCACAACAGACTGGGTCATCGGACCAATCACTGCAGATTAGAGGACCGCTCAATCACACGCAAAGCAGGGGTTTGGAAAAATGAATCATTGAGCAAATCGTTTGGGAGGCCTTGAGCAAATAAGGTAAAAAATAAATGCATATTGTAAGACAATGAAAGTGTTTTTTGACCTTGCATGCATGTCAACCTGTTGTTGGGGACTCCCAAAACCAAAATATGAACCTTTCTTAATCCATTATAGGGGCACTTTAAATCCTTACTAGTATCTGAGAAATAAATAGAACGTCTTGCACAAAGAGGAATCAATACAGAAAAATCTGACAAATATGCATGTATATTTTTAATACACACTCAGAAAAGGGGTACATGAGGGTAAAAATCCTGTACTTCAAACAACGAATGTATCACTTTCCATTAACTGCACCTTAGAAACATGGAAGGCCTTTTATAGTAGCATTCTGTACCTGTCATATACAAAGATGTATGTGCCTTTCCTCAGGTACCTCAGCTTACTATTTGGATTTTTCAAGTACCTCCAGTATTTGATTTTTTTTTCTAATGGAACAATTTTGTCCGCAGAAGGCCCTAGTGAGAAGGGTTTGTACCATTTTAAGTGCACACAGGAACAATTTTCTGAGTGTGAGGGGAGATGATGATCAATACTGAATGCTGCTGTAGTCTTTTACATGAGATCAAAGTATCATTAGTGTGTACCTGAGGGGCCGGCCCAGGGTCTGACTCCGTGCTAATGCTGAGCTCCAGGGTACTATGCCTGTTAGAGAAATCTGTTTTAAAGTCTGCAGACCTGAAAAGGACAAGATGCTGTGAATAATGATATTATTGCTTGCAATAATGGTAATGATGCACAGAGGCAACTGAATTATTCAACTGAATTAAACAACTCAAATCTAACATCTAAGATAAATGACCATACTGTTAAAAATACATAGCATTTCTTTATCTTTTATAACCAATAGATTTACCCCCCAAAACTCAAAGACAGAAAAAGAGGCCACTCAGGATGATTTGAAGAGAAAATGATAAAATATGTAAAATGGACTCAAAATATTAACTTCCATTTATAATACTGGTAAGGTGTATTTAAGAACAGTTTTTTTTTAATAATGCAACATTCACACTGTTAGTGACACAGCTGTCCAAACGTTTTTTAACCTAACTACGTGTTAAGTTAAAGGCTTATTAAATCTAATTTAAATCTTATTAAAGGCTTATTAAATCTAATTTAATGGTTTTGGGGAATAGAATGTAAAAATTCAACATGCTTTGTTTTTGTTTTACCCCAATATTAATTATTAAAGCAGCATAAAGTTGATCTTTATGGCTCCAAAAACAGTTAAGCACACCTTGTGACTATATTAAACACTAAATATGGAAACATATCATATCAGGCCTGTTTAGGACACCATGATAAAATATGCACAATGAGGTGTAAACCTGAACGTACCACAAAAGCTCACTAGATGAATGGTTGGAGGTGCACCTCTTCCTCTCATATCTCCACTTCCGTCCTCCTTTCAAGGCACTGTCTGGGTGAAGGCTCACCTCCTCCCATTTCGCCAAGGGTGAGTTGCTCACTGGAGACAGGACAGTGAGTATTGAGTGAGACAGGCTGTCACAAACTGCTTTTAATGAAACAACACATTGGTGCAAAAGGTAGATTAAGGCTACCCAGCAGCAGATAAGGATACAGCTTACAGCTCAAGGATTGCTTATCTCAGCTCGCAATTGATTAAAGCAGTTCGGCTGTGGAATGATAAATATAGTACAACAGGGAAAACATGGCAATGGTTTAGCTTACAGAAGCTTATGGCATAATCTACTGGAAATGAACTTTACAGTGCAAGTTGTTAAAGCTTTTCAGAGGATTAAAATAAGCCAGTGTAGCGTTTCATTTTAAACCATTTCAAGCATAAGCTTGAGACAAACAACAAAGCTAAAATAAAAATGAATACATTCCTACTTGGGGCATCAGTGTCATGAAAGCCAAAGTTCTGTGTGTTTGAAACATTTCCATAATTTTCCAGCAATTTAGTTCCAGTACTTTAAATCTAATAATATGCTAATGTGAATGCTAAAGTGCAGAGTAACTGCTTCCTGATGAAGTGGCCAATGGGATAAAAAAAAAATAGACAACAAAGGGTGTAAAAAATGTAATTACACTGAGTGCTTGGATTAAATCAGCTGTAAGTTTAATCATAAGCACCTCTTAAATTGATTAAAAGAACTTTACACTTAAATTAATTTCATAAATGCAGGCCTTTTCATTATAAGGGACAACTTGCCTAATGTGTTATAGGGTTTCATGAATTAACATTTTGTTCTGAGCATGGAGATACAGCTACCATATCTATGGCGTCTGGGTTAACCCAGGTAGATCATAATCATAATAATACCACATTGTCCAATTTTTTTTAGAAGTGTGAAATTTTGCATCAGATTGTAAAGTTTTTGATATATATAGCACATTTAATAACGACAAAGTTGACCAAAGTGCTGCACAAAAAAATTTAAATAAATACATAAAACAAATAACAATATAAAACAATCACGAACAAAGACAAAAATAATTTAAAAAAATAATAATCCAATCTTGTTTAAATAAATGTGTCAACAACAGTTTCCAGCTTATTAAAAGAAAGAAAAGATTTTATTTTAGCTATCATCTTAAGCTGAAACAGTGCTGGTTTAACAACTGAATTTATTTGTCTATCAAATTTGAGAGCCTGGTCAAAAACAATACCCAAATTCCAACCACAAGTGCTACAGTTTTAGTTATAGGACAACATCAGTTATAGGGTTTTTAAAGTCATCACCATCAAGTCTCAGTAACCTCTGATGGTGTCAGTGAAATCATGCTTACCTGAAGGGAAATTCAATTGTACACAAAGAGACTCATTTATTAATCAAATTTGAGAGCCTGGTCAAAAACAATACCCAAATTCCAACCACAAGTGCTACAGTTTTAGTTATAGGACAACATCAGTTATAGGGTTTTTAAAGTCATCACCATCAAGTCTCAGTAACCTCTGATGGTGTCAGTGAAATCATGCTTACCTGAAGGGAAATTCAATTGTACACAAAGAGACTTAATGGATTATGCACTGTCGCTATGTGGTTCACTTTTCACTGTGGGAAAGGCAGAGACTTATCACAAAATGGCCGCCAGCTCAGAGACAATTCACAAAATGGCTGCCAACCCAGAACCTGTTCTCAAAATGGCTGCCATTCCAGGGTCTCGTCCCATCATGGCCACCGTTTCAGAACCTCTTCTCGTCACAGCTGCCACTCCCGAGCAGCGTCCAGTCGTGACTATTCTGCCTGAGCCCTCCACAAACCTGTCAGTCCAAGACTGGTATCAAGTGTGGAGGATCTACCGCTGGTGTCTGTCCGAGCTCTGGATTACCCCACAAACTCTCCGCTCCCGAGCCACGCAGACTCAGTGTTTTCAAGCGACACTGTTTCAACGCTCTCAAATGACACTGTTTCAACGCTCTCAAATGACACTGTTTCAACGCTCTCAAGCGACATTGTTTCAATGCTCTCAAGCCTGCCGGCCGATACTCACCTCAGTTCCCCAGGCACAGCACCTTCAGTCTCTGAGATAGACGAACTATTCTCTGTCCTACCAGTAATGGCTACGGCCATTCTCTGAGTTTGGGCCACAGACACCACCGTAGTTTCCCCAGAGGTTGCAGCTTCCACTGCAGAACCTTCCGAGGTGGTGGCGCCCACTCTAGACCCAGAGACCGCTTCTGTTCCAGTTTCCCGATGTTTCCCTCTTTCCCGATGCCTCTGTTATGGTCGTAAGGGCCGTCTATGAACTTTCTGTGGCATCCGTTGCAGAATTTCCAGAGGTGACGGCATCCGCTGCAGAACCTCCAGAGGCAGCGGGGATGTTTGCCTCAGCTCCTCTCAAGACAGGGGTGTCCACCTATGAACCCTTTGTCTGTCCCAACAAGGTCATGGAGACCGTCAGTGAATCCCCTGTCAAACCTGTCTCGGCCCTCGAAGTCAATCATGAACTATCAGCCCTGCCTGAGATGGTCGCAAAGACTGCCTCTGAATTTACTCAGTCCTGACCAAGGAGGTCTTTCCTGAACTCTCTGATTACCCTGTCACGACCAAGGAGGTCGATTCTGAACTTTTATGCTGCCCTGAACTAGTCACGGAGGCCACCTATGAACTTGTGTCCGGTCCTGAACCGACCACAGAGGTTGTCTATGAACTGCAAACTCTCTGCCTGTCCTGTCACGGCTATGGAAGCCGCCTGTGAACTCTCTGCCTGTCCTGTCACGGCTATGGAGGCCGTCTGTAAACTCTCTGCCTGTCCTGTCACGGCTATGGAGGCCGTCTGTAAACTCTCTGCCTGTCCTGTCACGGCTATGGAGGCCGTCTGTAAACTCTCTGCCTGTCCTGTCACGGCTATGGAGGCCGTCTGTAAACTCTCTGCCTGTCCTGTCACGGCTATGGAGGCCGTCTGTAAACTCTCTGCCTGTCCCTGAAATTTTATGCTGCCCTGAACTAGTCACGGAGGCCACCTATGAACTTGTGTCCGGTCCTGAACCGACCAAAGAGGTTGTCTATGAACTGCAAACTCTCTGCCTGTCCTGTCACGGCTATGGAAGCCGCCTGTGAACTCTCTGCCTGTCCTGTCACGGCTATGGAGGCCGTCTGTAAACTCTCTGCCTGTCCTGTCACGGCTATGAAGGCCGTCTGTGAACTCTCTGCCTGTCCTGTCACGGCTATGGAGGCCGTCTGTAAACTCTCTGCCTGTCCTGTCAAGGCTATGAAGGCCGTCTGTGAACTCTCTGCCTGTTCTGTCATGGCTCTGGAGGCCATCTGTGAACTCTCTGCCTGTCCTGTCAAGGCTCTGGAGGCCGTCTGTGAGCTCTCTGCCTATCCTGTCACGGCTCTGGAGGCCGTCTGTGAACTCTCTACCTGTTCGGTCACTGCTATGGAGGCCGTCTGTGAACTTCCTGACTGTTTCGTCACGGTCAAGGAGACCACCTATGTACTCTCTTCCTGTCCTAGACCGGCCATGGATGCTACTAATGAACTGTCCATCCATCTTGTAATGGAATGTAATTAAAATAGCTCTGCCTTTGGCCACTGCTCCGCCTTGGTTTCCTGCTCCGCCGGATTTGCCTCAGTAACCTGTTCCTCCCCTTTCTCATGGACTGGCCCTCCATCTCTCCCCCTGTTCCGCCTCCGCTCCACCTCCCTCCTGGACTCTGGTCTGTTAAGGAGTGTCTGGAAGCCGCTTCTTGGGGGGGGGCTCTGTCACGATCACACACTGGAGTGCCCATGATCTCCACCAGAGGGCACTTCATCCCTGACTTTTACTATTCACCCAGGACTCCATTTCCCACAATCCTTTGCCCGGACTTATCAGCACTCATCACCAGTTCACAGTTGCTTCACATTAGAAGGACTATAAAGGAACCACTCAGTCACAAACACATGGCTGTTGATTGTTAGCCTGTAGCATACCCGTGTTCTCCTGTTTTGCCTTGTTCCTTGTTTCCTTACCTTGCCTTGCCTTGTTTGTGACCCTGGACTGTTTCCTTGTTATTGACTGTTTGCTGCCTGCCCTGACCATTGCCTGCGTATTGGATTACTCTTTGTACTCATCTGTTCCTTAGATTGTACTGTTTTGCCGGTGTGTGACCCTGCCTGTCTGACTACGCTTCTAATAAAGCCTTGCATGTGGATCCTCTACTCTGTCGTCACAGCTCCTACGTTACAGATGGCACCAAAGGTAAAAGATATCAATGCAAAAAAAAACTCAATTGACAACTAAACTGACTTATGGTGAATTTTAACAACAATGCCAAAGTGTCTTTCATTAACAAGCTATATACCTGAATCTAATGAGGCTCTTTCAGGGTTAGAACGGCTGTTAAAACGGCTGGGAGATGATGGCTCTGTCTCCACCTGGATCAGCTCTGTCTCTTCAGTCTTCTTCTTGTGAAGGCTACTCTTAGAGAAACCATTCTTACGAGACCCACGGGGACTCCATCTGTCCCAGCTCCACCTTCTCTCATAAGGTTCACTCAAGTCTACCAAGTCTAGTGCTGTGGACAAGAATAGAGACAAAACATTGCCAATAAGAGTCATTCAAAATTAAAACCTGTATTCTCTTATTCTATTAACCAAATAACACATTTATGGGTACAAAAAAAATCCTTCAAAATCTTCTATTCTTAGGTAATATGCAATTTTCAATCATGAATAGTGAAAAACTGATACCTAAAAAAATTAACAATTTTGAATTTAAAGGATTCATTGAGACAAAGAGTAAATGCCAAGGAACACCAATTGGAGATAGGATAAGAGAAGAGCAGACGAGTGAGAAGGAGAGGAGGAACAGATGACGGAGCAGTAATTATGGGGGAACCTGCTGTGTTGGAGGTGACTGGCCGTGTGGATGTATCACTCTTGCTCTCACTCTGGAAATCATCAATAGAAGGGCTCAGTAACGGACGGCTCTCTTGCTGCTCACTACACAACTGTAACACATAAACCAAAAATTTTTCAACTTAGCAAGCACCCATTTCCACAAAATGTTGATCTTATTTGTAACATTTATGTAGACATTTATTTTGTTTCCCATTTAATGTTTTTGGTCAAGTCAGTTTTTTATTTTGAAGTTCTTGTTTCTAGTTTATGTCATGCCCTTTTCCTTGATACCTCCTCCCATTGTTGTTTAGTCACACTGGCAACACAACAGGCATCAAGAAAGTCGAGCTGGGGAAACAGAAAAACAAAAACTAACGGCTAAAACTTACAACTGAAAAAATTTAAAGTCAAAATGAAAAAGAGAAGACGAAATGTAAAAATAGGGAGAAACAAAATGAGAAAATGAGAAGCAGCTGTGAGCACGTGCATGGCCACGCTGAATGCAGAAGGCAATCAGCTGCGTGCAGCCGACACATAGAAAGGAAAACAAAAACACGTGCAGGAGAAGAGAAAGATCGTACCCCTCCCCCCAGGGACGCCACCCGGTGGACCCCTGGTGGAATGAGACTGACAGCAATGAAACTCCTCAATCAGCAAGTAGTCCAGTATGTCCCGAGCCAGGACCCAAGATCTCTCCTCCGGACCATATCCCTCCCAGTCCACTAGATATTGAAAACCCCATCCATGGCGTCTGGAATTAGCGGTGGAGGGGGGACATGAATGTAAACATGAGGGGAATGGGGAGAACGCAAGACAGGTTTAAAATGAGAAACATGAAAGATAGGGTGAACACGACGGAAAGAATTAGGCAGACGAAGCTGCAGCGCCACCAGACTGACGACCTTGACAATAGGGTATGGTCCAATAAATCTAGGTGCCAGCTTACGTGCTGGAACCCTAAGTGGCAAATCTCACGTAGAGAGCCATAACATTTGCCAACAAACATATTTCGGAGCAGCAGTCCAATGGTGGTCAGCAGCTCTTTTGGTACATCCCCTAGACCGGGCCAGCACCTCCCTGGCCCTCCTCCAGGTACAGCGACAGCGCTGGATAAATGCCTGGACTGAGGGAACGGCAGCCTGGGAGGGAAACAAAGGGGGCTGATAACCAAGGCAACACATGAACAGGGAAAGCCCAGTCGAAGACACCGGCAAGGAGTTAAGGGCATATTCAGCCCAAGTTAGCTGCTGACTCCAGGAAGAGGAGTTATGAGAAGCCAGGTATTGGCGCATCCGCTCGAGATCCTGATTAGTGTGCTCGGGTCCAGTATGTCCCGAGCCAGGACCCAAGATCTCTCCTCCGGACCATATCCCTCCCAGTCCACTAGATATTGAAAACCCCATCCATGGCGTCTGGAATTAGCGGTGGAGGGGGGACATGAATGTAAACATGAGGGGAATGGGGAGAACGCAAGACAGGTTTAAAATGAGAAACATGAAAGATAGGGTGAACACGACGGAAAGAATTAGGCAGACGAAGCTGCAGCGCCACCAGACTGACGACCTTGACAATAGGGTATGGTCCAATAAATCTAGGTGCCAGCTTACGTGCTGGAACCCTAAGTGGCAAATCTCACGTAGAGAGCCATAACATTTGCCAACAAACATATTTCGGAGCAGCAGTCCAATGGTGGTCAGCAGCTCTTTTGGTACATCCCCTAGACCGGGCCAGCACCTCCCTGGCCCTCCTCCAGGTACAGCGACAGCGCTGGATAAATGCCTGGACTGAGGGAACGGCAGCCTGGGAGGGAAACAAAGGGGGCTGATAACCAAGGCAACACATGAACAGGGAAAGCCCAGTCGAAGACACCGGCAAGGAGTTAAGGGCATATTCAGCCCAAGTTAGCTGCTGACTCCAGGAAGAGGGGTTATGAGAAGCCAGGTATTGGCGCATCCGCTCGAGATCCTGATTAGTGTGCTCGGTTTGGACGTTGGTCTGTGGATAGCATCCTAAAGACAGACTGCCGGAGGCACTCAGCTGTCGACAGAACTCCCTCCAAAAATAGGAGACGAACTGGGGCCCCCTGTCAAGAGACCACGTCCTCTGGAAGACCATGAATTCAAAAGAGTGGTCAATGGCCACCCGGGCTGTCTCCCTAGAGAAGGGGAGTTTGGAGAGACGTTTAGAAGGCGTTTGGAGGGAAGTTTAGAAAAGCAATCCACCACGGTAAGAATCACAGTATTGCCACTGGATATAGGGAGACCAGTAACAAAATCCAGGGCAATATGCGACCAGGGACAGGAGAGAATGGGAAGGGGATGAAGCAGACCAACGGGAGATTGATAAGAAGTTTTATTTTGAGCACAAACCTCACACGGACCCACGAACCAACGAACGTCCTCAAACATGGCAGGCCACCAAAAACGCTGACGGATGGCTGGCAGCGACCTCCTCACACCTAGATGACACATGAGTTTGGAGAAGTGGCCCCATCGCAAGACGGAGGTGCGGACTGAATCAGGCACAAATAACCGTCCCGCTGGACAACCCAAAGGGGGTTCAAATCGAGCAAGCACCTGTTTAACCTGTCTCTCGACACCCCAGACGACAGCCCCCACCAAACGATCTGAAGGCAAGATCGTATCAGTAGGGAGCGTGTCGCCAGGGGTGCTGAACTGCCGGGACAAAGCATCGTGTTTACGGTTTTTAGAGCCCGGTCTATAAGACAATACAAAATTAAAACAGCCAAAGAATAAGGTCCAGAGGGCCTGTCTGGCATTTAAATGCTTAACAGACCGAATGTACTCAAGATTTTTGTGATCAGTCCACACCAGAAATGGAATAGCTGTCCTCTCCAGCCAATGACGCCACTCCCCCAAAGCTAGGCGTACTGCCAGCAGCTCTCTGTTGTTGGTCATAATTTCGCTCTGAGGGAGAAAGACGATACAAAAATAAGCACAAGGATGTAACTTATTATCCTGAGGGGATTTTGGGAAGGAACTGCTCCGACAACCACCTCTGAAGCATCCACCTCCACCACAAACTGTCTGTTAGGATCAGGCAAAATCAACATTGGAGCAGCAGTAAATCTGAATTTCAGATCATCAAAGGCTGCTTGAGCAACGATCGACCAACAGAATTTAGTCTTGGTGGAGGTTAATCCTGTCAGAGGCACCGCCATCTGGCCAAAATTCATGATAAAGCGTCAATAAAAACTTGCAAAACCAAGAAATTGTTGTAACGCTTTACTAGAGCCAGGCACCGGCCAATCAGAAACAGTTCTCACCTTCGCAAGGTCCATGCGAATCCCCTCCACCAAAATGATCGAAACTGAACGAGAACTAAACTGACTGGGCATGAAAAGTGCACTTCTCTGCCTTCACGAATAATTGATTCTCTAGCAGCCGCTGAACGTGCACCTGAAAAGAACAAGAAAAAATTAAGGTGTCATCTAGGTACACGGAGACAAAATAATTAATCATATCTCTAAGCATGTTATTGACGAGCACTTGAAAGACGGCTAGGGCGTTGACCAACCCGAAAGGTAAAACTAAATATTCAAAGTGCCCTGTAGGTGTCTTCCATTCATCCTCCTCCCTTATCCAGACAAGATAATAAGTACTGCATAGGTCCAATTTCGTAAAGAACTTTGCACCCCTCAAGACCTCGAAGGCCATAGACATCAAAGCCAGGGGTCCCTGTTCTTAATGGTAATGTCCTCTGCCTTCACGAATAATTGATTCTCTAGCAGCCGCTGAAGCACTCGCCTGACGTGCTGAACGTACACCTGAAAAGAACAAGAAAAAATTAAGGTGTCATCTAGGTACACGGAGACAAAATAATTAATCATATCTCTAAGCATGTTATTGACGAGCACTTGAAAGACGGCTAGGGCGTTGACCAACCCGAAAGGTAAAACTAAATATTCAAAGTGCCCTGTAGGTGTCTTCCATTCATCCTCCTCCCTTATCCAGACAAGATAATAAGTACTGCATAGGTCCAATTTCGTAAAGAACTTTGCACCCCTCAAGACCTCGAAGGCCATAGACATCAAAGCCAGGGGTCCCTGTTCTTAATGGTAATGTCATTCAGCCCCCAATAGTCAATGCAAGGGCGCAAAGAGCCATCCTTTTTCTTCATGAAAAAGAAACCCACACCAGCTGGAGTAGAAGAGGGATAAATCAGACCTGCTGCCAGAGATTCAGATAAATATTTCTCCATGGCCTCATACTCAGGTGCAGACAAGGAGAAGAGACATCTGCAAGGTGGAGAAGAGCCTGGGAGGAGATCAATAGCGCAATCATACGGTCGGTGGGGAGGAAAAGAAGCAGCTCGGGACTGACTGAAGACCGCACGCAGATCATGATAAGTGTCAAGCGCTCGAGATAGATCCGCTTCCTCCTCCTGCAACACAGAAGAAACAGAAACAGGAGACACAGTAGAAACCAGACAAACAGCATGACAGCAAGAACTCCAAAATAAAATAATATTGTCTGCCCAGTTTATGTGGGGACTATGAAGTGAAAGCCATGGGTGACCCAGCACAATAGGTACAGCTGTGGTTCCCGGAGGTGATAACACTCACCGGATCGGTAATGTGAGTGACAGCCATCATGTCCCTTAAGTGAGTGAGCTGTAAGTGGGGATGAAAGAGCAAGTATAGGAAGACCTTGATGGTGAGCCAAGGTCAAATCCATAAAATTCCCCTCAGCTCCTGAATCAACAAGCGAAGAACATCTGATGACAAAATCGTTATGCAAAGCCATGGCTGGAATAGTGGTGCGTGAGCCAACTGGTGAAGTGATGGAAGTGCCGTCCGCCTACTGACGGGCGTGAGCTTTTACCATACAAGCAGCAGCAATATGACCTTGACCACCACGATAAAGACAGAGACCCTTGGTGAAATGGCGTTGCCGCTCCTCAGCAGTTAAACGCATTCTTCCAATCTGCATTTGTTCAGGACTGGATAACTCAGAAACTCAAGAGGGAGCAGATGAGGAAAGGTCAACCTGTGACCAACTGGTATTACCCCACACTCTGCTTCTAGTTTGCCTTGACACAGAGCCGCCAATAGCTGAGAGGCTTCCTTGCCAAACGCAGATCTATCAAA